TTCCCAAACTTGAGCCATTCTTTTTAGGTAACAAATCTGTGGAATTGTCCCAGATTGAGGTGTCATTAGAGGAGGTTTTGGAACAAATGAGTAACTAGTGACCAGGACCAGATGGCATTCACCCAAGCGTTCAAAGAACTCAAATGGGAACCTGTGGAACTACTAACTGTGGTTTGTAACCCATCCTTTAAATCAGCTTCTGTACCGAATGACTGGAAGATAGCTAACATGATGCCAATATTTAAAAAGGGCTCCAGAGGTGATCCTGGCAATTACAGACCAGTAAGTCTAACATCAAGTCCAGCCCCCTGCTCAAAGCAGGACCAACCCCACCCCTCTGTCTTATTCTCTATCCCTTTTTTAATGATCCCTAACATTGTGTTAGGACCAACCCCAGCTAAATCAACCCAGCCAGGGCTTTATCAAGCCGAGACTTAAAAACCTCTAGGGATGGAGATTCCACCCCCTCCCTAGGGAACCCATTCCAGTACTTCACTACTCTTCTAGTGAAATAGTTTTTCCTAATATCCAACATAGACCTTCCACATTGTAACCTGAGCCCATTGCTCCTAGTTCTGCATCCGTCACTACTGAGAACAGCCTCTCTCCAGCCTCTTTGGAACCTCCCTTCAGGAAGTTGAAGGCTGCTCTCAAATCCCCCCTCACTCTTCTCTTCTGCAGACTAAACAAACCCAAATCCCTCTGCCTCTCCTCGTAGGTCATGTGCTCCAGGAGCACCTTTGCTAAGGACAGAGGGACCAGAAGGATTCACGGACTCATCCTAACACAGGATGTACTCCAGAGACTTTTAAGCTAGCAGTTTGTAACATCTCTGCTAAGAGCCTGCATCAAGAACTTGGGGACTGATAAGTATCAGAGGGATAGCCATGTAGTCTGGATCTGCAAGAACAACAAGGAGTCCTGTGGCACCTTATAGACTAATAGATTTATTGGAGCATAAGCTTTCGTGAGCAAAGACCCACTTTGTCAGATGCATGTGACGAAGTGGGTCTTTGCCCATGAAAGCTTTCGCGCCAATAAATCTGTTAGTCCAGTGGTCCCCAACCTTTTGAGGTTGTCGGGCGCCAGGGGGCGTGGCCGTTCGCCCGCCAGGTGCCAGGGGGCGGGGACACTTGGGCGCCCGGGGGCGGCCCCCCTATAGCCGCATGCCCGGGGGCGGCCCCCCCCCATAGCTGCATGCCCGGGGGCGGCCCCCCCCCCTAGCCACGCGCCTGGGGCCGGCGCCCCCCATAGCCATACGCCCGGGGCCAGTACCCCCTCCA